GTTGAGGGGCATGCGAAAGACTCTTTATGGATGGTGGGTTATGCAATCAGTTTCTGAGTATATATACGTGTTATCGGATAGCGACGTGCTCCACAAAGTGGATGATGTAGAGTGAGGTTCCGATATTTCGGCACCGACTGATGATGCGAAGTCATGGTTCAGGTCTCATTGGAAGAGGAGAAGGTGAGTAACTCCAGATTGGAGATTTGGACAGAGGAGCTAGAGATAGCGAAGTTGATAGACTCGGGAGCAGTCTAGACCGGCGCTGAGAACCGTGTTAGGATATTCCAGTTGTAGGTCGTGGACCTAGAGATCGCAAGAGTAATGTACCCGATCATGGTACGTTTGTAGTAGACGTGATGTCGAGATTTGGGTGAGTTACACTCGGTTGTGTCGAATCAGAGTAGATTGAGGGAGCTGCAAGGTTGGATCCTTGGGCTTCAAGTATGGTTGTAGGCATGGGTTATGTGAGTAGTGGTATTCCAATCTAGGGTATTCCATCATGACGATGACCGGACCCTATTATTGATTGGACCTGGTGTGTTTGGTATTCCAACCCGAGGGTTGATTGGGCCAAACATGCGTGAGAATGCGAGGGTATACCATCCTTGGGATGACTGGACCCGTTATAGGCGTACCTGGTATTCCAGCCCGAGGCTGATTGGGCTAGGTACGAATGGTTATGTGATATAGCTGGTTGATTCATGGGAGTTGCTAGAAGCTGAAGGATGCAATATCCTGTCATTGTAAAAAGGAATAGATTCGGGATGGGAACAGGATTCGTTCCCTATTGCAGGTTATCCGGGTTATCGCCAATTTTGGGCGAAGGAAAGGTGGATTAGTGTTATAGCAGAGTTCAGTGGATTATTGTGGTGTCTAACTTTCGCAAGTCTCGAGGGTGTGTTCATGTCAGGAAGGTGGCAGTATCATCGGGTGATACTGGATTGGTGTGTTCTGACATTAATTAGAAAAGGCCGGGGGTTGGCCGGGAGTATTGGCAAGGATACCACACGAGAAGAAATTATTTTAAAAAGGGGGTACAGTGGTAGGGTTGGGAAGGACCTGAGTTGATTGGGAAATCGGAGTCTGCAGTGCAAGAGGTATATTCAGAATCGTATACTGCAGTAGGCTTCGAGGACGAAGCCTAATTTAAGTGGGGGAGAGTTGTAACATCCCAAAATTTAGAAGTATGGTTGAAGGACTTAAGTGTAAATTGAAGAAGGTACTCGACGAGTAGGTATGCTTACTCGTGGAGTCGAAGCGGGTTCTGGTCGCAAGTTAAGTGACCAACTCGCCGAGTCGGCAGCTGGACTCGACGAGTTGGTGCTGAAAAGAGAAAATCCTAATCTTAAGGGTTGCACCCTATTTAAAGGACCACATGTCCTCCCTTCAGCCTCCTTATTTCCCTTGAGAGTCAGTAAACCCTAAAATCGTGTGAGCTTCCATTGTTAAAGAGATTTAAGCTTTGGAGGAGGAATATTGAGAAGGAAGCTTAAAGATCAAGAGGCTAGCATCAAGGGATTGGTGTAGATCCAGAATCTACTTCAGCTTGGGCACATTTTGGAGGTAACAAGTTGTTACCTTGACTCTATTGCATTTATATCTATTCAAGAATGAGATTTGGGGCCATTTTGGCATGTTAAGGATCTATTTCGGGTTAGGGGTCTAGATCTGAGGTTGCTACTACAGATCTAGACTTGTCTTGGTCCAGAAACTCACAAAGTATCAGCCACTGGCTTGTTGGTGAAGCATCCTTGTCTTAAACCTTAGCCCTATATTGATTTGGGCATATAACTCTTTGTTTTCACGTAAAGTTTGCAACTTTACGTGAGAGTCATGCTCTAGAAGAGTGGATCTACTGTTTGGAGCCCCTGCATGACTCGAAAAGCCTCTGTATGAATAAAGGACTGAAGAGACTCGGCGAGTATGTTCTTGGACTCGACGAGTCTGTTGAAGATAGGCATGGGCTCGACGAGTTGGAGGAACAACTCGGGAAGTCTGTTGAAGATTGTCATGGACTCGGCGAGTCTGTTCTTGGACTCGGCGAGTCAGAACGCAAAACCCCGACCTCTTCTGGTTAAGACTCAGATCAGTAAGTTGAGTGGTGACTCAGTGAGTTGGACATGATAGGACTCAGAGATTGTTGAACTCGACGAGTCATGGGGTGACTCGGCGAGTCGAGTCGTGATATAAGATTTTTCTGAAGTTTGGGAACTTGGCGAGTCAGCGGGTTGACTCGGCGAGTAGGGTCAATCAGGAAGATTGACTTTGGCCAGGACTTTGACTTTGACCAGTTTGACCTTCAAGGGTATTATGGTAATTTGGATATTCATGTCAATGGATCATTGATGGCAATAGGTGTTGGAGTTTGGGGCAGTGCTTAGGGATTGTGCTTTCGTGGTTCGGTTCGGCAGTTGCAAGGTGAGCTATCCTCACTATACCCAAGGGTCTAAGGCACCAAGGACGGCCCTTTGATTTGTTATTTGAGATAGTTACTACTATGATATGTTAGTTGGCATCCTGGTAGATAGGATGGCTATATGATGGTATGCTCTGTTAGATCGGTATTCTGGTAGATTGGATGTGCCTATGCTTAGTGACCTGTAGTTGGTCTGGCTGTCTGTATGCTGGTAGGAGATTACCTGTTATATGTGCACGTGTTGAGCAGTAGTAGAGGGTATTCCATCCCGGTAGGATGATAGGGCCCTAGTATGTTGTCTTGTAGACTGTTATATGGTTATTTGATTGGTGCACATGTTTGCTAGTATGTGGGTATTCCAACCCGATGGTTGAGGGCCAGGAGTATTCCATCCCGGTAGGATGATTGGACTCATAGTAGGTGGGCATTCCAACCTGATGGTTGAGGGCCTGGGGTATTCCATCCCGAGGGATGATTGGACCCGTAGTAGTTATTGTATGTATAGTAGGTGGGCATTCCAACCCGATGGTTGAGGGCCAGGAGTATTCCATCCCGGTAGGAAGATTGGACTCATAGTAGGTGGGCATTCCAACCTGATGGTTGAGGGCCTGGGGTATTCCATCCCGAGGGATGATTGGAGCCATAGTAGTTATTGTATGTATAGGTGTGTGGGCATTCCAACCCGATGGTTGTGGGCCGAGAGTATTCCATCCCGAGGATGATTGGACTCGTAGTATGTTGGTATTCCAACCCCACGGTTTAGGGCCTGGGGTATTCCAACCTGTCGGTTGATTGGACTCATAGTATGTTGTTCATTGATGTATGTGTATGGTTATGTGTGTACGGGTATTTTGGGGGAACTCACTAAGCTTTCGAGCTTACGGTTTTCAGTTTATTGTTTCAGGTACATCAGGTGATCGTGGCAAGGCAAATGCGTGATCGTACCGCTCCTCATATTTCATGATTTTGTGATTTGGTTCTGGGGATACTCTGATGTTTAAACTATTTTGAAAACCAGTTGTAATAACTTAATGGTTTTTGAATGGGTTAAAATGTTTTGAATTGGCTTGAATTTTATGGGTATTACAAACAATGGTGGGTAGAAATTAGGAGATAATTCATGAAAATTAACATTTACCGAACCAACATGTCAAAATATAACAAGATGTACAAGCTACTAAAGCAGGAAACAAGAATGAGAATGAAGATTCTGTCAAGAATGATGTTGTATTCTTATAGAATGAAGATTCTTTCAAGATTGAATTACTATAAATCGTTGTATTATGATAGAATACGACAAAAAAAATCCAAGAATGACTTATTTTTATAGAATGTGACTCTAAATTTGTATTTTTATTTGTATTTTTTTGAACATATATTCTTTAATAATATTAATAATATGTGATTATTCTTTAAAAAATTCGTTATTCTTCAATTCATGGTTCAAAAATTTGTTATTATTCAATAGGTTCATTCAATCAGAATATATATTCAGTAAGAACATGCATTTTGTCATAATTTGACTTCTTTAGAAAATGTATTCTTAGGGTAGAATGTCCGAATTTAGAGAATTAATATCATTTAAAAGATATTTTAAAAATTAAGGTAATTAATTATTCCATAAAATCCAAAGTTTTCCTTTTTTTTTTTAAATATAGTTAAATTGTCTAAAATATCCTTAAGCCACCAATTCATTTAATTAGAATGTTTTTTTAATCTAATTATATAAGATAATCACTTTCTTAAATTAACAACAATGATTGGCCCCCAACCATTCTTACAGACACACAATAATTACTTAGAACACAATAACCTAAGCCTATATATATATATATATATATATATATATATATATATATATAGATATATATATATATATATATATATATATATCAATAGAGAATCATTATTAATGGTTCTCCAACGACCAAATATTTTTTTTTTCAAATTTTAGAGTTTATTCTTTATCGAAAAAAAAACCTAAAAATATCTAAATTCATAAATTCACATTGTGAATGTTAAAAAATAAATGATATATATTTTCGATTCACCGTTTAAATTCAAATTGACATTATGAATCTGCACATATGTAAACTGTAAAGGTGACGAAAATAAGTATTTTTTTTTATCGAAATTAATATCACTGGAAAAATGATAAACAGTTATAAATTTTTTTATTTTTAGTTTTTTTTTATAAAAAATAAACTCTAAAAGTTTAAAAAAAGATTGGTTCCTTGATTTCATGGTTAATAATAGTTCTCTATTGAATATATATATATATATATATATATATATATATATATATATATATATATATATATATATATATATATAGGGAAATCTGCGAAAAAGTCCCAAAGTTTTGCTCCAGTTTATGATTTAGTCCCAAATTAAATTTCACTTATGAAAAAGGACAGATTACCGGCTATTACACTCAGTTTAGCCCTAAGAACCGGTAACCCTTATAATAGCCGGTTACCCCAGCTCACTATCCTTATCACCCTCCATTAACCTCCCCGTCATCCACTCCTCCTCTGTAAAAACCCTTTCTTACCCTCCATCGAAACAAAACTCTACCAAAATGACATCTTCAAGCTCAGTGGGAAGTAGGAGCAATATCCGATCACGAAGGCAAGCATTAAGGGCAACATGCTTTTGTGAAGACCCCATTGGTAAGTGGACATCATGGAGGCCAACAAACCCTGGCAGGAGGTTCATCGGCTGCCCTAATTTCTGGGTAAGTATCCCTTAAACCTCTTTAATTTCATCTCAAATCTCTGCCAATTAGGTTTTATTTCCTATATAATAGGATGAGGAAAAATATTGCAAGTATTTTGCTTGGGTCGATCCCCCATTACCAAACAACTGGTACAGAAACTTGTTGATGGAGTTTCACAATAATAACATTCAAGTACACAATGAGTTTGCGGAAGAATTTGTGGAAGAAGCTGTGGATTTTCACAACAATGGCATTCAAGAGGTTCCTGTACAAGTTGAAGGTGAAAAATGGAAGATTGGGTTTTTTTTGTGTTTGTTGGTGATTGTGTGGATTATGTTGAAGTGGTTTTAAGTTGTTGTAAAACTTTTAAATGACAGTTGGATGTAAGTTGTATGTTGTTGAATGAAAAATGGTTTTATGGATACCTACTGTTTGAGCAATGTACAATTGTAAGTGTATGATGTGAGCAAATGAAGGATGTTTTTCAATATAACATAATGAACAAAATGGATGTAAGTTATACATCAACAAAACATACCAAAATCAGCCAAAGTGTTTACAAAAGAAAGGGCATATCCCTATTAACAAATTTACCAAAAAGGGCTTCCTAACAAATTTGCCCAAATAGCCCATATAACTGCTTAAATCCTAACCAATCTAAAGTCCCAAAGTGTTAACAATGCAGCCATATTGTATATTGTTTACAAAAGAAAGGGCATATTAACAAATTTACCAAAAAGGGCTTCCTAACAAATTTGCCCAAGCAGCCCATATAACTGCTTAAATCCAAACCAATCTAATCCAAAGTAAGAGGTTTTTCTGGAGCCATTCCTATTCCTTTCTTGTCAATCACAATTTTCTTCAACATGTTTTCAGTGATCCTTTCAGAAGTTTTTCTTGTTCTAACCCTGACTTGAGTTCTAACCCTAACTTGAGTATCATCAACTCCCTCTTCATCATCCTCAGCTCCATCTTCATCATTGTCCTCCTGTGATTCTTCAACTCCATCTTCATAGTCACTCTCCTCCTTGTTTTCACCATTGTCCTCCTGTGTTTCTGGTACATGTTCACTCACAAAAGGGCACATCCTTGCATGGGAAAGAATACAAGTTAGTTATGTTATTGGAAAATAAAATTCACTGTCAATGTTATAATATATACCTTTGCAGCTTGTTTGGATTGGTGAAGCAAAGCATCAAATCCTTTAAGTTGTGATTGGGTGATATTAAGACACAAAAGGATCTCTGCTTCACTGTATTTTGACTCTCTAAGGTAACTCAAATCATGCAGTATTTGATCCAGATCAGCCATATCAAGACCATCACCTTCATCATCAATGTTAACATCTGCTTCCTGTGTTTCTGGTACATGTTCACTGTCAACAGTAGGTGCTGTTTGGGTGACAAATTGACTCTCAACATTAGGTGTTGTTTGGGTGACAAATTGAGTCTCAATCCCAGGTTCTTTTTTCCCAGAACTTTCACCTTCTTCATAAACACTGGTAGACACTCTTCCACCACTTCTACCCCCTCTTCCACCACCTCTTCTACCACCTCTTCCACCACCTCTCCCAAGTCTAGTGCAATTGGTCAATTATGGATTCAACCTTGGCCTTCCTATTTTTCTTCTTAGGCTTTGGTGTTGGTTTGACTGAGGGATTCTTGCAAGACACTTTATTGTGCCCTATTTGCATACAATTCTGACATTGGACAGTTCTACCCTTAGAGGAGACTTGGGAAAACCTCTCTTGATGCTCAGAGACATTCCTTTTCCTTTTCATACAAGGCCTTCCTGGCATCCTTCTTTCAATAGGTGGTAGTGGTTTGGTGTAAGGTGTTGGTTCCCACATATTACTGCCATTAACAGGAAGGATGTTAGACTCATAAGTAGCTAAGAACTTGTCCTTACCAAACCATGTGCTAATGAATCTAGCTGGATCCTGTTGTGTGTAAATTATGGTTGCTTGGGCATGGACACAGGGCATCCCAGATAACTCCCAAAGTCTGCATGTACAGTACATCCCCTCTAAGTTCACTCCATATGAGTGGAAGCCATTTCTTACTTCAAAAGCATTCAAACCACTAGGATGAACATACCAACTCCTGCAAACACATTAACAGTTTTAATTAGTATACATATTGAGTCTCAATACTAAACTCATACATTGTCTTAACTTTATAATACTTACTTGATATCAAAAGAAAACTCATCCATTTTCTTAATAGGTCCTGGACACACATTATTCACCCATTTACCTGCTTCTTGCTTCAAGTTAAATAACCTTTCCATCATATATAGTCTAATCTCCTCAAGCATGGCCAACAAAGGCTTCTTTCTGACATCAAGTATGATGGCATTAAAACACTCTGCCATTCCATTTTCAACAGCCTCACATGCCATTCCACCTTTAAAAAATGCCCTGCACCAAGATTTAGGCTCCCTTGCCATCAAATGATCATAAGCAGCAGGATTGACTTCTCTAATCTTCTCCATATTCAATTTGAAGTCTCCTTCAACAGTTGACTTGGCAACTGTCCAAAACATATTCTTGAACTCTATACCACTGAAGACCTTTCTGAAATTTGCATACACATGTCTTGCACATTGTCTGTGCTCGACATGTGGCAATACAACCTTTACAGCTTCCAAAAGACCCTATCAATTACATTAAAAAATTTCATTACTAACTGCTTGATCCATGTATAAATGAAATGAAAAAAAAGGAGATAATTGAAAACATTACCTTGTGTTGATCAGAAATAACACACAAATCCAAGCCTCCTTGTAATTCCAGGTCATCATGTAATAGTTCCAAGAACCATTGCCAGTTGGGCTTGTTCTCAATTTCAACTACTGCCCAAGCAATGGGATACACATGGTTATTTGCATCCCTCCCTATGGCAGTTAGCAGCTCACCTTTACATTGTCCTTTCAAAAACTCCCATCAAGCCCTATAACTCTTCGACAACCAACTTTCCATCCTTCTTTGATAGCCTTAAAACATGTATACATTCTATGGAAAGTAGTAGTGTTATCAGGGTTTACAGTGACAGATATTTGAATTGTACTCCCTGGATTGGATCTCATCAGTTCATGTCCATAATCCCAAACTTTTGCATAGTGATCACTCAACTTTCCATCTATTAAAGAAATTGCCCTACACTTTGCTCTATAACATTTTGACCATGAAACCTTGCAATGGAACCTGCTTTGAATAATAGCTTGCATTTCCTTACATTTCAGATTTGGTTTCCTAATCATCTCCTTCAGAAACTGCCTAGCTATCCATGTGGGATCCATAAGATTAGCACTACGGAAATTCCTAACACAGGTATGTTGCTCAACCATTTTTTTGATTTGGAATGATCTTTCAGTGCTCATCCATGAGGCCCTTACAACAAAGGGACATTCAAATTTCTCAGGGTCACTTGCACATACAGCCACGAGCCTTACACTATCACATTTCTTGAACCTAATTGGATAACCCCTACTTATAGAGTAATTTGTCAAACAAAACTTTAGTTTGTGTGGTGATTCATACCTCTCTCCAAGAACTGGCTTCATATTGTTCCATTTCACCTTCGGATCATGGGTTGAGTATTGAAACTGCAATTTGTCTTCATCGTCACCTTCACTATCACTCTGCTTCTCCTGCGGTGCTTCATCTTCTGACATTCCTTCAAAATCATTTAGGTTTATCTCAGGTATGGTGCATTCGTCAAGCGCTTCGTCTGTGAGAGTATTTAGGAACTCATCTTTGCATCGACTTCTTTGTTTGTGTTTGAAAAACTCATCCAATTCCACGTCAATGGTATCGAAGTCATCTACTGTCTCCATTATCACTACAAAACAAAAATTAATCAAATATTATAAGGGAAACAAGATATTGGAGGACCACGTGGATTTTCTTACCTTTGATTCTTCTCAGGTAACGTTTTGCTTCGATGGAGGATAAGAAAGGGTTTTTACAGAGGAGGAGTAGATGACGCGGAGGTTAGTGAAGGGTGATAAGGATGAGCCAGCTGCGGTAACCAGCTATTATAAGGATTACCGGTTCCTAGGGCTAAACTGAGTGTAATAGCCGGTAATCTGGCCTTTTTCATAAGTGAAATTTAATTTAGGACTAAATCATAAACTTAGCCAAAATTTTGAGACTTTTTCGCATTGTCAAATTTTAGAGCTTATTCTTTATCGAAAAAAAAAAACCTAAAAATATCTAAATTCATAAATTCACATTGTGAATGTTAAAAAATAAATTATATATATTTTCGATTCACCGTTTATCTTCAAATTGACATTATAAATTTGCACATATGTAAACTGTAAAGGTGACGAAAATAAGTAATTTTTTTTTATCGAAATTAATATCACTAAAAAAATGATAAACAGTTATAAATTTTTTTATTTTTAGTTTTTTTTTTATAAAAAATAAACTCTAAAAGTTTAAAAAAAGATTGGTTCCTTGATTTCATGGTTAATAATGGTTATATATATAGATATATATATATATATATAGATATATATATATAATATATATATATATATATATATATATATATATATATATATATATATATAGGGTTAGGTTAATTTTGGGACCACTATATTTTGTGAGATATGAGGACGTAATCATAGCTATTCATTTTGGAGATTAAAAAAATATTTTTAAAATGCAAAATAATTCAAAATTTTTGAATTTTATTTAAATATTATTTTCGTTGTTTATATTTTCCAAAAACAATTAAAATAAAATAAAATAAAAAATAAAATAAAAATTCCTTTTCCTGAAAGGAACATCTTCAGAAAAGTCCTAATATTTCACCCTAATTTACGGAAAAGTCCCAAACTAATATTGGTTTATGAAAAAGTCCTGATTACCGGAAAAAAATGACGATTTGACCCTTTTTTTCCAGGTATCGGTTTCAATACTTACTCGGTTTCATTAAAGTCTCATTATTTTACCGTAATTTTCTTTAAAGTTCCATTATTTTACCATAATTTAGGACTTATTATGTAATATGGGTAAATAATGGGACTTTATTAAAACCGGGTAAATAATGAAACCGATAAACCGGGAAAATAGGGTCAAATCATCATTTTTACCGGTAGTTGAGACTTTTTCGTAAACAAATTTTAGTTTGAGACTTTTTCGTAAATTAGGGTAAAATATTGGGACTTTTTCGGAGATTTCCCTTTCTGAAATATATATGACATATTCTAACATAACATTCTAGTATAAAAATTACAACAAACTGTTAGAATATTCAAATATTCTATTATAATATTAAATTAAATATTAAAACAATTTTAATAGAATATTAGAATATTCTACAAATTCTAACCATTTTAGTAGAAGATTAGTATATTTTAACATATCTAACAATTCTAGTAGAATACTAGAATATTCTACCATTTTAAAAATTCATTTGAATATTTACAGTGTAATATTCTATAAGAATATTTTACGTATATTTAAAAAAATAGTAATTTTTTTTTAGGTATATAGAATGACGAAAATAATAATTAAAAAAAGAATTTTTTGGATTTTTCCTTTTATTTTGCATTTTAGATTTTTATTTTAAATTTTTTGATCTACAAGATGAGTGATTAGGATCACGTCCCATGTCTCAGAAAATTAACATGGTCTCAAATGAACATCTCTCTTTTCTCTCTCTCTCTCTCTCTCTCTCTATATATATATATATATATATATATATATATATATATATATATATATATATATATATATATATATAGGGTTGAGTTATTGTGCGAAACAAAAGATTTGTGAGAACTTCCGAACTCATAATCAATTTATCATTTTTCAACACCAAAAACTACAATCTTCTCCAAATGGTGCATCTAAGCCATATCTAGGCTAAAAAAAATTGATAACTTCTTTTTTTCGAAATTTGCATGTATGCACAATCAGTAGTTGTACGGACTGCTGATGAGCACAATCAGCAGTCAGATGGACTGCGAATGTGCACAATCAGCAGCCATATGGACTACTGATGAGCAATTGAAGCTATTGTCTTTCTTTCAATTTCAAAGCAAAAGAAAAACATGACAACCACAACCATATGTTTTCAGTTACCCAATCATCTTGGTATGAATTGGAGTTCTTTTTGTAATATTTGAACATAGAAGCCACTAGAAACGCTCTGGATTCTATGTTAGACGTCACAACAAATGATCTAGCTTCGATCTAAAATTTTCATACTCATCTGAACCTCACAATTTGTACCTCCGTTTAATTTTTTTTCTTTTTAGAACGGTTGTTTTAATTTACACTCTTTTCAGTTTATTTGTATCTGATTGATCCATGTGATATTTTAAATGAACATAAATTGTTTGTTAAAATGCCTAAAAGCGACCCTTTATATGAATTCAAGTAAAAAGTAATATTTTAGTGGTCACATAACCGAGATGTGTAGCTTGTATGGTTTCAACAAAGATATATTTTCTAAATCTATGAGGTTTCTTTGATTTCTTCATGTCTTTCCGAAATTTTATAAAAAAAAGTGAACATATTTTTATTATTCATATCTCCCTGATGTTGCATATTTTGTTTTGTTTGTTTTGGTATGTGTTTGTGTATCTATGTGTGAATGACTCTTTTTGTGTATTAGTGTGTATGTATCTGTATTTGAATGTGTTTGTGAGATTCTTGATGGAATTCAAATATGAAATGAAGAGTAAACCCAAGAAAACCCTAAATTTCTAAAATCTGATCTAATAACCTCTATAGTCCTCCCTCTTTGAATCTGTAATAGTTTATGAAAGTTGAGAACTCACATCAGATCAAGTGGGTGTAGGTGTAGAGGTTTTTGAAATTGAAGAACAAACCCACACTTTCCCTGAACATTGGAGCAGAAATCGATATTCATCTGGTGAAAGGATAAGGAAACATGAAGAGAGGAAGTGAAACGGTTTTAAAGTGTGTATGTTTTTTATTTTTCAATGTATGTATTTATAGGGGTGATCATTTGGATCAGATCGGACCTAACCGACTTTTGGACCGGACCGCTTGCGGAGAATATTATGGATCGTGGACCGGACCGGATGAGACTTGTCGAGTCCATGTCCAGGTTCATTTTTTTCGGTTCTTGGACACGGTTGGACCGGTACAGCTTTACATGGATACAGTACAAGTCGTTAAAACACGGTTTTGGGTTTGATACAACTCGTTAAAGTGAATATGTTGTTGGGTTTGATACGTTACAAATCGTTAAAATGAATACGGTTATGGGTTTGATACGATACAACGCGTAAAAATGAATACGTTTATGTTCCTTGTACCCGTTGGACCGGTCAAACTTTAATTATTTGTACCACTTGCTTGAACTTTGAATCAAATAAGTTAATGATTTTATCATATTTCATGCATAACTAATGTTATCTATAATATTATAACTTGCAAAATTAATTCTCCAAATAAAATTACCTAACATATAAATCAAGTTCACCAATGAAAGATAACAATCTTAAGACAAACATACAAAAGTAATTACCGTATCACCAAAAATCATAGTGTAAAAATTTAAAATCAATCCAACTAACAAACGTCATAATATAATCTTCCATTGGCTCTTCCCTATAACATTGTCATCTAAATCTAACATGTTTAAAGCTTGTGTAATCTCTACATAAACACAAAATGAAAATGTTGTTAGTATTTAATAAAAACTAATAATTGAAAAGCTAAAATATTTCAGCTTTGATATCCCAACTTTGAAGGATTGTAACTCCTTCAATATAACACCAAAACACCAAAATTATAGTCTAAATTCATTTACAAACTCTAAATTACATGTTGAAAAAAAACCGCATGCCAATCCGACTTAAAACGACTAAGATATGCTTGTTTAAAGAATTTTACAATATACAAAATTAAAATTTCTTGCTGAAAAGCTGAAATATTTCAGCTTTGATATCCCAACTTTGAAAGATTGTAAGTCATTGAATATAACACAAAAAAACAACAAAATTATAGTCTAAATTCGTCTACAACTCTAGATTACACGTTGGAAAAAACCGCATGTCAATCCGACTTAAAACGAATGAGATATGTTTGTTTAAAAAATTTCACAGAATATAAAAGTTTAAATTTCTTACTGAAAAACTGAAATATTTCAGCTTTGATAACCTAAATTTGAAGTATTGTAATTCATTGAATATAACACCGAAAACATCAAAATTATAGTCTAAAATCATCTATAAACTGTAAACTAGACGTTGGAAAAACCGCATCTTAATCCGACTTAAAACGAATGAGATATGTTTGTTTTAATAATTTCACAGAACACAAAAGTTTAAATCATGTCCAAACGTTTTTAACCGAAACCGGCTGGACCGGACCTGTTTTGATCAAATCCTAGAACCAATAACCGGCCCGGGTGTCCAAAAAAGGTCTAGGTGTAGGTCCGGTCCACGGGTCCAAATGCTCACCCCTATATGTTTGTGTATGAGAGAGAGAGAGAGACTTTATGTATTTATTTATTAATTATAAAATAGTTAAAAAAAGAAAGAAAAATGAAAAATAATTATATTAAGGGTATTTTAGTGTTTTCAATTTGGGAAGAGACATTTTCCACATACAAACTAGCTCAAAAAAGACCATTTAATGTATAACAAAATGGAACCGATTAGGGGAAGAAGTTCGAAAAGAAATTTAGAACATTTAATGTACGTAGATCCATGGATGAGTAATTTTTTTACACCAAAAAGGGGTTTTAAATTAAAAGAAAATAGCTACCCAGTTCTAGAATACAAAGTTTTGTTACAAGCGTCCATAGACCATAGGATTACAAATCCAGTCACTCCAGTTTAGCGTC